TTCATCTGTCTATATGAACCAAGGATAAAATTCTTAACAACCTAATTTCAAGTACCTTCCTGTCTACCTCAGAGACATAACATGGACAAACTGATTCACAAAGTTATCTTGAGTGCTTAAAGAAAATGGCTCTATTAACATATAACCATCATATAATATCCATTGTAATTTAAAAGTAAGTTGTACACCCCAATGGCACCATGCTTCTCAAAATAAAGAAGTCTGTTTTAGCCATATTATTCATAAAATAATTCCTTTCATAATAGTTCCTCTTTCAGTTGTGCATAATTTTGCGTTACCTTTCCATCGTGTGCACGTTACTTACTTATGACCACCTTATGTCTTTTAATTGTTCTCCTTTCGTTTTTAATCAGGCACAGCTACACATTCACTCTCTGTGCTCTAATCTTACTGAGAAACACATGACTTGGTCCTTAAGTGTCTCCCGCACTGGAGGCAGACGCTTTAACCTCTGAGCCACCAGGGAAGCCCTAAGTGTAAATAACGACTCCCAATTCAGGAACAGCCCTGAAGAGGAGAGGACAGCAGACTGGATGACCCTTTCCTCAGGGCGGTTTTAAGCCTTGTTCATGATAACACAGACCCAGAGATATATGTACTTGTTGGCAGCTGTTGAAGCTGAACTGTGTTCCCCACAAAAGAGATGTTAAAAGTCTTAAGCCCCAGGACCTGTGAATATGACCCTATTTGCAAATCAAGTCTTTGCAGATGTAGTCCTGTTAAGATACAGCCATGCTGGAATGGGGCAGGCCCTGCATCTAGTGTGACTGGTGTCTTCATAAGAAGAGACATGAGCACCCGGGGAGGAGAACAGCACAGAGACACAACAGGAGAGGAGAACGTCATGTGACGCCAGAGACAGAAATGAAAGCCCCCCAGTTTTAACTGCCAGCCAAGGATCAGCAGCAAACCATCAGAAGATAAGGAGCAAGGAAGGCGCCTCCCCCAGAGCCTGCAGAGGTGCACAGCCCTGCTGACATCTGGGTTTCTAACTTAGAGCCTCCAGTGCCGTGAAACAGCACATTTCTGTCGTTTTAAGGCACCCAGCTCGTACTGCTTTGTTATAGAAGTCCTAGAAAACCAGTACAATAATGAAGCATAGCCAGTGAGACTGCCTCTAGAGAGACTACCTTAAAACATTCTAATTTACAAAAACAAGTGAAACCACATGTTTTTTTTAGTGTTTTAGCTATTTATAATAATCATTTGCAATAATGTTGTAGCCACTTGGAATATATCAATATATATTAATATCATTGGGAAATACAGCAATAAGTGTAATAAAGGATGATGGGAATACTTCAATATTTTTGCTTTAGAAATCTAGAATGTCAACTTACACCACTGACCTGAATTTCTAAATCTGACTTTCCTAACTCTTGATTTTTGTTCAGATTAATATACTTTGATTGTAAAGTTCCTAAATCCAGCTCAAGGAGTCATGCATACAGAGTAATATCCAAACACTCTAAAGGTCTATAGTGGCTTTGTGGTTTACGTTATGCATTGAGCTTTACCATCTGTACAATGGCCATAATAATTCTTAGTGAATTTGAAAGACATGATTTGAGCAGTCTAAGAGCATTACTGATAAGCTACATGTTATTAGTCTGATATACTTAGCCCTGTTGATTTCTGAATTCAGGGAAAAGGGGAAGCTGGGGAGGGCATAGGTAATAAATTAACTCATGTGCCATGAGCAAGGCAGCACGGACACCATAGTGAACCAGTAGTAAATAAGATGCTCATGAGCTCTTGGGTCTCACGGCGGGGGACACGGGGACACACAACACAACTAATAGCACAGTTAAGGATTTAAGTGCAATTGTGCCAAGTGCGGCAAAGGTACAGAATGATACAAGAACAAAACCTGGAGTACCTTCCTTGCGAAAGTGAAAGCAGAGTGAGTTCTGAAAGGCTCAGAAGGCTGCAGTCTTATGTTCCCAGGTTCCAAGGGGTAAGGAGGAACCTCTGGCAGAGGAAGCCTAACCTAGTCAGGAAAGAGAAGGTCCGTGTGCCTGGAGAGCCATGGTGGGGGAAGGGGATGGCATGAATGGCAGAATGGCAAGGAGGCGGGGCCAGACCACACAGGACCTCCAGGTCTGTCCTGCACGTCCCCCCATACCCACCAGGCTGCCAACCAGCTTCCGACCCCTCTGCACGGAAACAGGGATGGTCCTACTTCATCTCGACTCCAAAGTGACCCCCACACTCCCCACTTCCTGCTGTTCATGATTTACTGTGATAGATATCCTGGGTTAGGTAGTGAATTGTTTCTCTCCAGAAAGATATACTGAAGCCCTAAACCCCAATATCCATTAATGTAATCTTATTTGAAATTAGGGTCTTTTCAGACATAATCAAGTTATGTGTGCTCAGTTGCATTCAATTCTTTGTGACCACATGGACTGTAGCCCACCAGGCTCCTCTGTCCATGGGATTTTCCAAACAAAAATACTGGGATGGGTTGCTATTTCCTTCTCCAAAGGATCTTCCTGACCCAGGAATCAAACCAGGTCTCCTGCGTTTCCTGCAGTGGTAGGCGAATTCTTTACCATTACACCACCTGGGAAGCCTGAATCAAGTTAAGATAATGCCATACTGAATTAGGGTAGACCCTAATCCAATTAGGGCTTTGCAGGTGACACTAGTGGTAAAGAACGGGCCTGCCAATGCAGGAGACGTAAGAGCACGGGTTTGATCCCTGGGTCAACGATCCCCCAGAGAAGGAGACAGCAACCACCCCAGTATTCCTGCCTGGAAAATCCCATGGACAGAGGAGGCTGGCGGGCTGTAGCCCATGTCACAAAGAGTCGGACACGACTGAAGTGACTGAGTGTGCCTGCGTGCTAATCCAATATGACTGGTGTCCTTACAGGAAGAGGGAAACTTGACACAGACCTAGACTCAGAGGAAGAAGACCGTGTGACAAATGGAAGCAAGACAGTTGCAAGCCAAGGAACACTGAGGACTGCTGGCAAAATATCAGAAGCTGGGAAGAGGCATTCTCCTCTATGGACTTCAGAGTGAACTTGGCTCTGCTGACAACTTGACACCAACCTTCTACCACTGAACTGTGAGATAAGTTTCTATTGTTTCACATCACCTAGTTCTTGGTATTCTGTTGCAGCAGCCTTAGGAAACTGTCACAGATTTTGCTTCTGTGTGAGTGGGACCATGATTTGCTTCTGAGCAATGGTTATGGCAAAGTGATGGCATGTCACCCCACAGTTACATTATGTTATATAAGACTGTCTTGCCAGAAGACTCATTCTAGAGACCCTTTCCCATGCCAGTGATGAAGACGCAAGCTGCCATGAGCTCTACAAGGAACAAGTCCACAACGAACTGAATTCCCCCAACAAGCACATGAGCAGGGAAGCAGATCCTCCCCGAATGAGGCCTCTGGATGAGACCACAGTCTGACTGACATCTCCACTACAACATGGTAAGACCCTCTGCAGAGGGTCTAAACTGTGCCTGGAATTCTGACCCAGAGAAATCATGAAATAATGAATAAGTGTTGTTTCAAGCGCTCAATTTTTCAGTAATTTGTTAGATAGCAGAGAAAACGAATATGCCTGCACAGTAGTGTAGCAAACCACCTTTGCATTCTCTCTGGGCACGGAAAAGGCTGAAGGCTGACTCTTTTGTGGATGTTTTCATGTACTCTCCTGAGGTTTCCAGCACTGGGGACCCCTGCAGTTCCCTTGGTGTGGGCATAGGCATCTTCTCACAGCAGGCATTTTCCTGCGACTCCTTCCTTGGGAAGCCAGTGATCAATCACCTCCTGGTTCCCGCTGCTATGGTCCCTCTGGCCAGGACCTAGGCCAGTGCCATGCCAGCACCCTCCCCCGCGGGGCCCACCTCTGGGCATCTGGTAGGCCTAATGATCCTTTGGCTTAACCAACTCTAAGAGGGGAGGCCATTCCCAACATGGCAACTCAGCCCGTGCCTCTGCTTCAGCTTTGCTACACAGCAGCCCGAAGCCAACAGCTCCACCGGGTCCCTCCAACGAAAGAACACTACATCAAGCCTGCCCAGAGGCCAGTTCTCTCCAGGCCGGAGGTGAAGAAGCAGGGGTGGGGGACAGTCACTGCGTAGCGAAAACTCAAAGAATCTCTTTGCCGATCTCTCTTCTCTACATTTTGTAAACGTTTTTATCTTTAATCTAGTTCAAGAGTCCAAGACTCACAGAATCAACCTGAGCTCTTCCTTTAAAAATTCTGTGCATTGGACCTGTCTCACAATCACTTTGGTGGGTGACATCAGAATGGAGGCAGAAAAAGTGTCATTTTAACCACCTGTTGCTGTTTGTACTCCCAAGTCATAAAATAAGAAGAGACTAAAATTTAGTGTTAATGTTACTTCCCATTTCTAGCTGACATTTAAAAGAATCAGTGGTATTCACATTCTTAGACAACTGTTAAAATGATGAACTCTATTTAAAAATAATGACTCAACACTCTTAAATTGATCTATGTATTACCAGGGCTTCCCGGGTGGCTCAGCTGGTAAAGAATCCGCCTGCAATGCAGGAGGCCTGGGTTCGATCCCTGGGTCAGGAAGATCTCCTGAAGAAGGAAAAAGGCTACCTACTCCAGTATTCTGGCCTAGAGAATTCCATGGGCTGTATAGTCCATAGGGTTGCAAAGAGTGGGACACGACAGAGTGACTTTCATTTTCATGATAAGCAAAAACTAGGAATAAGGCAGAAACCAAGGAATTACAGTACTGTGAAGTACATAAAAGCTCCAGTTATGGGTGGCCCAAGTGCCCTACTTAAAATACAAAGTTTATTCATTCATTTACTGCATATTTACTGAGCACCTCCGAAGTGAGAGATTCTGTTTTATTTAAACTTTTAAAATATTTAACTTTGGTATTACTTTTCCAGTTAGCTTTAAAAACAGGGATATGTAAAAGAGAAAAATGTGCACCAGGATAAGTCTCAGAAAGGCATATAACTCCAGAATTACCTGAAAAGGCATTGCTGTAATATCGAGATAGGGTCTGCATGATGTCTTTTGAGTGCTGGGTCCACGGTGCTATCTTTCTGTAGGTTTTTACACGATGAACAAGTTGGGAACCACCATACTGAAGGGACAGGGTATCCCCATGGTCTTCATAGAGTTCCTCAAACAACCTAAGAAGCCCAAGTAAAACACACAAACACTGAAGAATTTCATCCAAAGTATCATACACCTTATTCACTTAGCTACAAACTCAAAACAAGTCTTTTCCTACATGAATTCCTCTGAGCCTTTCTTTTCAAGTAGACTCTTCAACATCTTGAAGATAAATGCATATGCAAAATGTATTATATTTTATAGTAATAGTCCAATAAGCAACAAAATCACAGAAAACTCTAAGGAAAAAAAAAAGCAGGGGGCCAGAAAGGTATACCCAACCCAAGCAAGACCAAGGTGGTTCTACTCTCTTAAAAGACTCCTAACTTTCTGCAGCCTGCCAGCTCAATTTACCTCCCATGACAGAATTTCCTGTTCTCTCTGAATTGCCTTTGGAAGAAAGGACAAGCTCTTGTCACATCAAACCATATTCTTTCCTAGAAATACATGTTTGAAACTTACGTTTCTTCAAGTGCCTGTTAAGGTTTTTTAATGCAGTGATGGCTGAGATCTGGCCATTTGTGAGCTGAGCACTCTTTTGGACAGAGCCTTGATGACTATCTCAGAGGACTGATAATAGCCATCACTGCCTTTCAAGAAACAGTACTTCATGCACTGTCATGGACCCAATGGGCAGTGAAATAACAGTATTTCTTACCGAAGAACCAATCTTTTATCTATCTTACCTGTTTAATTCAAAATATATGAAGACATATTACTTTTTTCCTAACACAGTCTGAGATCTTTTTTTTTTCTTAAAGAAACTCACTAGTTTGGATTTATCTAAAGTACACAGTGTTTTTTGATAATTAACATGAATAGGAAAACAAAACCATGGCAACAACACACAGGGCTTTAATAGAAATAGATGTTACCAAATTTAAATAACATCTTTTAACAACATAATTTTTGAGAAGCCAAAGGGGCAAATAAGTTCATAAAAGTCCTTTATGATTAATCAAGTTTGCTTTCTGTCATTACCAGCATTTGAAAGGCAAAAAAAAAATAAGGCTTACCTAACTGCATCTGTATCAAATTGTAGATTCGGTTTGTCAATTAAGCCCAAGGAGTACAGTTGATAAGCCAGAGCACACTTCCCCACCATAAACTGTGCTGTGTTGGTGCGATCCAAACAGTCCACACAGTTGGTTCTAAGAACACCAGTCTAAAGAGAAACACCTTAAACGGTCAATCATTATTCAGTCATCAGAACTACTTCCATCCTACTCAAGATTTCTTTAAGAAGACAAGCTGCAAGTAGGGTGTTATTCATGAACAAATAATGAAACTTTTTTTTTTCAATAAAAAAAGGTAAAATTAAAAAAAAAAAAGGTTATATTTGCTATTTACAATATTGCTCCAATAGCATCATTATACCTTCTAGTCTATATTTGAATTTTTCTATATGAATTTTTCTATTTGAATTTTAACAAGATAAAACAAATAGCTAACATTTTCCACATGTACCAATTAGTTAAATATGTGCTTTTCCTCCTGGTCTGTCTCCTTTACTGTACAAACCAAAATATTTAGTGACTGAGGGGCTGTTTCATTCTTAAAGCATAATTAATATATATAGTGATTATCTGGCTCATTTTCCAAAGTCCTTCTAATTTATTCTTTACACATTTCTGTTTATGTTTCTATTTCCAATAATTTTATATTATGTAAAAAAAATTTATGAAAGTGAAAGTTGCTCAGTTGTGTCTGACTCTTTGTGACCCCATAGACTATACAGTCCATGGAATTCTCCAGGCCAGAATACTGGAGTAGGTAGCCTTTCCCTTCTCTAGGGGATCTTCCCAACCCAGAGATCAAACCCAGGTCTCCCACATTGCAGGTGGATTCTTTACTAAGCTGAGCCACAAGGGAAGTCCAAGAATACTGGAGTGGGTAGCCTGTCCCTTCTCCAGTGGATCTTCTCAACTCAGGAATTGAACCAGGGTCTCCTGCATTGCTATCAGGGAAGCCCCCCCCCCCAAAATCTAACGGCTATTATTATTTCAGCCACACATCCTTTCCAAGAGTTAAACACTAGCTGTAAGGCATTAAAACTTGTTCTCAAATGATTAATAATGTTGCATTCAATAAGAAGTATCTCTCTCCATGGTTGCTTTCAGAAAACATCACACACAGTGAATACAGATTCTGTTCATTATTAACACAATGTCATCTATACCTGCAGGCGACCAGTGGGAATCACGCATCCTCCTAGTTCATTCCACCTGTGTTTAAAAATACATGCTTTAATTTTACAATATTTAATAACATAATCTATATTCATATTTGGTACCAGCTCTTTATTAAGAATCAAAGTAATAGGGCTGAATGCCCCTGAATAATCAGTTGATTCAGTTTACTTTCTTAGTAAGTGAATTTGCAAATAACAAAGATGGAATGCTACCCATGCTCTCCTCAAAGGGAAGCCAGGAAAGGAGCATCTTAGCCTGCTTCAGCCCCACACACTAGCATTTTGTCACCCACGTTCATCCAAAATCTTTTAATTTAAGCCCATTTCCTGTTTGGTCTCTATAGACATGAATAATAATTGCAGATCAACTTTATAATACAATCTACCAGGCCTGATCCTTCTTCCCTCGACTTTAGGAGGTTATACTTCCTTCAGCTTTTCTTTGTGGAGCTTTGCTACAGTCCTTCCATTGTTTTTACAAACTTCTTTATTATTTTCCTTTCCACATGTTTTCTCCATGTGCCAATGAAGGCATGAGGAAATATTCTATTATAAGTACTATGTAATGACATTAATCTTTTAATTATTTAAAAGAAGGTGCAGTGCAGAAAAAGAGTTAACACAGCAGGCCTGACTGCTATCCTCAGAAAGGCCCGCTTACAAGGCTGGCCCTTGGCTGGCGCTGGGAACTTTAATTTCCACCATTCCCAGAACAGACAAGCACGGCTCGTGGTACCTAAGCTGTTTGTAGAAACAACGTGGTTTGCTGAACAGCCTTTCCTTCTGGGAGCCTGAAATTTTGGTAGCTGCCAGGCAGAGCTGCCTGCGGGACCACTTCTAGTAAAATCCCTGGCACCGAGTCGTTAATCACTTCCCCTGGCTGGTAACACTTCACGCCCGCTGTCACAAGTTGCTGGGGGAATTGAACATGCTCCGTGAGACTCCACCAGGAGAGGACTCTGGAAGCGAGTGCCTCATTTCCTCTGGACTTTGTCCCATGTGCTTTCTTCCTTGCCTAATTTTGCTCTGTTCTGCGTGTTCACAATAAATCATAGCCAAGAGGACACCACCGCACTGCGACCCCCGAGTTCTCTTAGGAAATCACAGAGCCCGGGAGGGGTCTTAGGGACCCTGGTCACAGATGCCCTGCAAGTCAAACTATAACAGAAGGATTACTTGCAAAGATGTACACATTAATAATTGGTTAGGTGGTTTTTTTTCTTGCTTTTTGCACGTTTTTTCTTTACCATTATAGTTAATTTTGTTAACTGAAAATAAAATGCTGGAAATACATAATATTGGTTCTTTAAAGATAAATTAAGCACTTTATCTGAACAAGCTCACAAAGTAGTAATGAAGAAAGATTTGTGAGCAAATAACTATAATACAGTGATAAATTTCATTAAAATGTTAGCATAGACTGGTCTGACTCTTTGGGACCCCATGGACTGTAGCCCACCAGGCTCCTCTGTCCATGGGATTTTCCAGGCAAGAATACTGGAGTGGGTTGCCATTTCCTTCTCCAGGGGATCTTCCTGACCCAGGGACTGAACCTGGGTCTCCTGCAGGCAGATTCTTTACTGTTTCAGCCACCAAGGAAACCCCAATGAAGAAAGATCTGTGAGCAAATAACTAATACAGTGACAAATTTCATTAAAATGTTAGTATAAATACTAATCTATAGACAGGTGCACAAGAAAAAATTTTCCTGCTACTTAGTACTGAAACACAGAATTCATTACAGAAAGTTTTATTTAACAGAAATACTTTATGTAACATTTATTCTAAGAAACAAGAGATTCTGTGGCTTCTATCTCAAGGTATGTAGCTGCCAGGAGAATCTCCCACCCTCATGAATGTTCATTCCACAAACACATGGACAGGGTGTCGTCTCCCCAAAGGAATAAAGTCATCTATTTTCCTAGGAGTACAAACTGCTCATGTCTAGAATACTTTTTGTCTATAAGAGCTAACGTCTTGATATCTTTTAGGTTTTAAAACACCATACGTACTTTTCATCTGGCCGCAGAATGCTACAGTAAGAATCGGGACGGTTTACAAAGAAGCCTGTTTTCTTCACCACGCTTTCTGCAATCACATTCAGGCGATCTAGAACATTACACAGCTTGCTGAGAACAAGGAGGAAGAGTAAGAGAAGTGAGAAGGGCCCGACTCTTAACATGCACCTATGTTTATACCTAAAGCAAAGGCTACAGTAATGATACTTGGGAATGTAATTTTTTAAATCTCTGGTTTGTACTCAATAGGGACATTGCATGAATTAATTTCTAGAATGCAAGGTGTACTCAATAACTAGCAAGATTTGGCACAAGAAGGGCCTGTAACTCAATAGCAACTGTTAGCAAGCCTTAAGCTTGGCACATGGCATCTCCCAGCAAGAGCCTTTTCCAAAGCCTTTCACTCCCCAAGAGTGGAGTCAGTGAAGTCAATACGCAGTCATGAAATGTGAAGAGAGCACAACGCTCAGTGCAGCTGTTCAGGAAGAAAACACTGGTAAATAAATTACTATGAATGGCACCAACCAGTAACCAGGCTTATACTCTGGGAAGTGTGTGTATGTGTGTGTGCACGTGCATGGATCTAACTACATAAAATGATTCAGAGAAAAGTACAATGAGTCAAGTGCAAAACAATACAGTGACATTAAGAAAATGAGAGAGAGAGAACTTGATGTGAACCTAGAGTTTGTATGACGCCCAGCAAGTGAGTCAAAGGACAGTGCAAGGTTAATGAGAGTTCCTTGGAAGAGATGAGTTTTGAATCAGAACTTGACAGTAAGAGAGGTGGGAAAGCAGCCTGGGGGGGGAGGGAGGAGGCGTGGAAGGAGAGGAAACAGGAACAAAGGGTCCAGAACTGGACTCTGGCTGCTACACTGGAGACAGAACATGACGGTTAGCTTTTCAGAAGCAGAATAGCCCTGGGAATAAAGCAGTTATTACATTCTGGAACCAACCAGATGTTGGGGCTTTCACATTACAACAAGGGGTCTGGATTTACTATAAATGGTGGGAGTTAGTGCTGGCTCACCCATGAGTGAGAACATCTGAAAGTGGCGTCTGAGAAAGGAAATAAACAGGGAGATAGAATGAAATAGAAAAAAAAAAGGTGAAACTAATGCCTTTGAGGAAAAGCAGCAGAGGAGAGGTGTTCTGAAGTCACTAGATACTTCAAAGAGAATTTGCAACTGGTAAAAGTGGTGGGCAAAAAGAGTTTGATCAAGTAATTTAAGCCCTCTAATTGTACACCAGCAGTTAAACAGCCCCTCAAGCAGGTTCACAAAGGAAAATAAGAGTAACTTTACAGGGGAGGTTGCTTCCTGCTATCCTACATCACAAGAAGAGGAAAACCTAAGCAGACGGACGAGCATCCACTCACCTTTTGGTGTACTTCGCCATGTCCCACGGAATATAAATAATCGTGTGCTCGGGAGGCAAAAACTGGTTGAGGTAGGTCACAGCAGCTACAAGCTCTTCGCTCAGAATTCTCTCATGCTTCCTTTTTTCTCGTTCCTTTTCCAAAAATTAAACATCGTCAGTGTTCAAACTGTCTTAAATTGGAGGAACAAACTTTTAACATAACTTTGCCACTAAGGCAAAAGATGAAGTGCTAAATATAAAAAAATGAAACCTACCTTATTAAGGTTAAAATAAATGCAAAGAAATAAATATGCCACTGAATTACGATCAACAATGAGCACTTAAGGAGATCAGATTTCTTGCTCGTAATCTCCTGCAGTCCCAACAAGTCCAGCTCAGCCCACACAGGCCTGTCCTACACCCCCCACACCCCATTGTGGCAAAGGAAAACTCCCCAAAGACCAGAAGAAAGGACCCCCAAGCCCCAGCCAGCTAAGGACCAGACAGAAATCAACTGGGCTTGGATGAAGAATCCCCAAACTGGCAGAGTGAAGAGCGCTTTCATAGCCTTCATATGCTTTTAAACTTGACTCTCATAAAATCCCCTGGAGGTAGCCAAGGCAGCCATGTCTTCCCCTTTTACGCTGTGGCTGAATGCACTGAGGCTGAGAGGCGTGAATGCGACTACATCTGAGCGGTCCACCTCCTCGCCTGCCTGCTGTAGCTCCGGACAGACCACACTGCCTCCCATTCAAGAGGGGCTGGTGCGTTACTACTCAGCTGTGAGCTTGGAGCTCATTTTCTGCCTCCTACCAGCCAGTTGAGACCCTCTCAACTTTTCTGAATTTCCTCATCTATAAAATGGGTAACAAGAAGAAATACAGATGGCTAACAAACACATGAAAAGATGCACAACATCACTCATTCTCAGAGAAATGCAAATCAAAACCACAATGAGGTACCATTACACGCCAGTCAGGATGGCTGCTATCCAAAAGTCTACAAGCAATAAATGCTGGAGAGGGTGTGGAGAAAAGGGAACCCTCTTACACTGTTGGTGGGAATGCAAACTAGTACAGCCACTATGGAAAACAGTGTGGAGATTTCTTAAAAAGCTGGAAATAGAACTGCCATATGACCCAGCAATCCCACTTCTGGGCATACACACCGAGGAAACCAGATCTGAAAGAGACACGTGCACCCCAATGTTCATCGCAGCACTGTTTATAATAGCCAGGACATGGAAGCAACCTAGATGCCCATCAGCAGACGAATGGATGAGGAAGCTGTGGTACATATACACCATGGAATATTACTCAGCCATTAAAAAGAATTCATTTGAATCAGTTCTAATGAGATGGATGAAACTGGAGCCCATTATACAGAGCGAAGTAAGCCAGAAAGATAAAGACCATTACAGTATACTAACACATATATATGGAATTTAGAAAGATGGTAACGATAACCCTATATGCAAAACAGAAAAAGAGACTCAGATGTATAGAACAGACTTGTGGACTCTGGGAGAAGGCGAGGGTGGGATGTTTCAAGAGAACAGCATTGAAACATGTATATTATCTAGGGTGAAACAGATCACCAGCCCAGGTTGGGTGCATGAGACAAGTGCTCGGGCCTGGTGCACTGGGAAGACCCAGAGGGATCGGGTGGAGAGGGAGGTGGGAGGGGGGACCGGGATGGGGAATACATGTAAATCCATGGCTAATTCATTTCAATGTATGACAAAAACTACTGTAATGATGTAAAGTAATTAGCCTCCAACTAATAAAAATAAATGAAAAAAATAAAAATAAAATAAAAAGGGTAACAGCAGCACCTCCCTTAAAGGATTAATGTGAGGTTTAAATGAGATGAAACATCATAATTTCTTAACAGAGCACCTGATGCATGGTAAGTATTAATACAAAACAGACCATTTGTATTATTATTCTGATCAGGACTTTACTCAGAAACAAACATGCAAACAAAAAGTAACTCAGCAATACAGACTATTACTGGCATCAGGATAGGTCTACGCTGTTTTCAACCATGGTGGTTACTTTTCAACTGTCATGAATTTAATTATATAATCACCAAGGAAACAAAAGAAAATGTATCTATTTTGCACAACTGTATATATCAAATGGAGGAATTAGAGTTAGGACCAGTGATAAATCAGTTTTAGGTGAACAAATATTAGCTTATTTTTACATCTGAGAAAATTAAATTACATACCTGGAATTTTTCTCAAACGTATTTTAAAGCAACTAGAGAAACAACAAGTTTGTGAATTTCTTATGTCAAATCTGACATTGAAGGAGATGCAGAGGTAAGGTTATTTCATCAACTTTGGATCATCTCTATGCAAAGAGCCTGCTTTATGCAGTCTGCCCACAGTGGATTCGTTACTGAATTGTCTAGTCAACTGCCTTTGGGTCACAGACTCATTTAACAACCAGATGAAAACTACATAAGAAAGTGACTTTGTACATCATTTCAAAGGGTTCAGAGATCCTCCCAATAGCTGGCCAAGGCCCCAGATTAAAGTCCTCTGATGGAGAATGACATCAGACCCTTGGTTGGCTTCCTATTAATCATGAGCAGCAGCACTGACAGTGTAAGGATTGCTGCAAAATTTTTGTCAAGCAGTGTCTCAAACTTACACATGGCGGGGGAAGCAGGTGGGAAGGAGATAGTTCACACACAGGACCAAAGAGAAAAATCAAGAAAGGTGTTCCATTTTAGATACTTCATACGGAGGCAGAACAAAGAGTGACTATCCCTTGATCTCTACACACACACAAACCCAGACACACTTTGACTAGATAATATGGACTTCTTCCAAGTGAACTGAATAAACATCTTCTTCTATCCTATGAATAAAGTAACTGATGACAAAAAGCAATCAAACATTTTTTCTATTCTACAAAACAGCAACTTAATCTCCAAAGTATTTTCTCGTTATTGTCAGGATTTGTATGACAATGGAATAATAAACAACAATGATTTTAAAATCTATTGACTGGCATTTAAATATTAAGAAGTAAATGTTCATTTGAGAAATCTGGGCAGGAACACTTTATAATCACATGTATCTGATATTATATTTTGAACCTGCATACTTAATAGAGAAATAATTTATTTCATACATCATGAATTTCCATTTAACCATAGCTTTTAACTACACTACAAGGACTCTGTAATATATGAAGAAAATTCACTAACTTAGGCTGACATTTATATTCTAGTGATAACTTTTTAATTCAGTGCTTCAGCAATAATTTATTTCTATACAAACAATATCTTATTGCCTATACATTTATTAGAAAATTGTTCAGGAAGGTTCTTGTTAGTAGAGTTTTGTTTCTTGAATTTTTTTATGTTTCTTATTGCTACTGTGTGGTATCAGGCTGAGGTTATGGATCATCCAGCTATTGTGTTATATTATTCTGAATTGACAGCAAGAGAGATAAAATTTCTGAACTGATGTGAACAAAAGTCTAAAAGTGATGTATTTAATACTTGATTTATTTTACAAAGTCAATCCCTGATTGTCATTATATATATAGTCATTATATTATATATTATTATATTATTTATATTATATTTATATAATTAAATTAAATAGTATTA